TGAGGCAGAAAAATGGGGTTTATGGTTCCCAGTTCTATACTTGGTGGATGTGTGACTTTGAGCAAGTAATTTAACAAATTCAAGTGTCAGTTTCTCCAACTATTTAACATGGATATAGTATCCCTGACACCTACTCACAAGCTAGTTGTGAGTCTCGAATAAAATGATGCGTTGGGAATCATTTCGTAAACTATAAATGGTCAGAAATGTTTATTAGCATAAGGTTATTAGAAACTAGAAACATCAGGAAATATATTAACCCCTTTCAATCAATGAAAGCTATTCTACTGCTAACTAAAATAATGCTATTTTACATTTGAATTGCCAGTAATTAGTTTGATCGTACTAAATACAGTCCTTAATTTATTTAGTCCAATGTATTGTATTGTTTTCAAAGACAATACAATATTCAAGAAAATGCTATTCTGTTCATAGTTAACAAAGTCTATTAAATTATATAAGGCATAATTAAGGCAACAAACCAGAAAATTCAGCAAAGATGTATCCAAATCAATTTTGTATAAATTACTATATTTTGTGGGAAAATAGTAACCTGAAATCATCTATCTAATTTCTTTTATTTTTTTACTTTATTAAAAATATTATCCTGATCTTCATTTTATCAAATTCCATTTGACATTTTCTGGTGTTCTTCAGATTCTAGCATAAGTAATATATTTTTAAAAATATTTTTATTTATTATTATTTTTGAGAGAGAGTGAGAAACAGAGCACGAGTGGGGGAGGAGCAGAGAGAGAGAGAGAGAATCGGAAGCAGGCTCCAGGCTCTGTGAGCTGTGAGCTGTGAGCACCGAGCGAACATGGGGCTCGAACTCACGAACCGTGAGATTATGAACTGAGCCAAAGTCAGACACTCAACTGACTGAGCCACCCAGGCACCCAGTAATATTTTTAATTAAAATTTTACATAATTCTCTGTTTCCTCTCAATAGAAATATGAAGGTGAATGCACAAAACAAAAATTGGAAATGGGGGAATATTATCACTGAAGAGGAGATATAGACCATTTTGTAATTTTTAATTGATAAATTCCATGTCATGCAATTTAAAATAATTACTTATAAGCTGGTTATCTTGCAATTTAGTAATTAAGCATGCATTAACTAGTTCAGATATTTTATTTTGGCTTTTTTCTAGTTGTGATAATTGTACTCAAGAAGTATGAGTAAATGAAAGAATATATTTAAGAGAAAGGTCATATTTTCTTAGAATGATAGAAATTACAATAAAAGAAAAAAGGAGAATATTAATGATATAAGAAATTATCTTATATAGCTTAAAAAGTAAATAAGCTTTTCAAATTGAAGCCAGGTCCATTAAGTGATTATCCATGATTTGCGGCCCTGTTTGTCATCTTAGAATCCTATTTCTCAGGGGTGCCTGGGTGGCTCAGTAGGTTAAGCGTCAGACTTCAGCTCAGGTCACGATCTCGCGGTCAGTGAGTTCGAGCCCCGCATCGGGCTCTGGGCTGATGGCTCAGAGCCTGGAGCCTGTTTCAGATTCTGTGTCTCCCTCTCTCTCGGCCCCTCCCCCGTTCATGCTCTGTCTCTCTCTGTCCCAAAAATAAATAAATGTTAAAAATAATAATAATAAAAAAAAAAGAATCCTATTTCTCTATTTTCTTGATGTCAATTTAAAAAGTACAGGGGCGCCTGGGTGGCTCAGTAGGTTAAGCGTCAGACTTCAGCCAGGTCACGATCTCGCGGTCCGTGAGTTCGAGCCCCGCGTCGGGCTCTGGGCTGATGGCTCAGAGCCTGGAGCCTGTTTCTGATTCTGTGTCTCCCACTCTCTCTGCCCCTCCCCCGTTCATGCTCTGTCTCTCTCTGTCCCAAAAATAAATAAACGTTGAAAAAAATTAAAATAAATAAATAAATAAATAGTACAATGTAACATTATTTATTCATACCCATATATGCAGTAAAATATGAAACACGAATGAAAGAAATGTTTCTGGCATGGAATACTAACTTAAAGATAGTTGACAGATAAGACATGGACAAATTTAAGTGGGGAATGCCAATTTCAAATTGTTCTTCAATTTCAAAATAATTTCAAGAATAGTTGGTATTAGAAACATATGGAAACTGTATGGGAACCTTAGGCAATTCCTAGCATGGCCTCTGAAAGAATTTATTCACTAACATCCCCATATAAATAAATTTGAATACTTGGATGCCAAAGGACTGATTCAGAATGTTTCCACGTTAGCTTTAGCATATATTATACATGATTTAAAAACTGAGACACATATTTATTGGTCCAATATTGATAGTACAGGACTTGACGTAAAATAGTGAATAGAAGAGGAAATTGTTAAAGTAACAAAAATTTCTATAACACTTGCTAATATGAACCAAAGATTAGCCTTACCATAGACAGTTCACCAGATGGAACAAAATTCCAAAATAATCAGTTGCAATTTAAACTGATAGTTGAACAATATGGTTATGTGAGTTGATATTTTAAAAACAAAAAAGTGGGTTTTTTCAGGAGATCATTTATTCTATACAAAACTTAAATCTCTCACATGGTTGGTAGAATGAAACAAGAGTAAAAAAGAATCATAACTGTGCACATCTCTGAAAGTGGAAAATCTATCCTCATTTTCTGAATAGTATCTAAAAATCTCATGAAAATGGAAGCTGAAAGGAAGACTACAAAACACTATATTATTCAGCCAATATATATTTTGGAAAATATCTTAAACTTAGGAAATTCATGTTTATCATTAGACCTGCCCAATTATTTCCGTCAAATCTGCAAAGCAACTGTTCAATGAGAAGACAAGCATTTCTGTCAACTGATACAAAGAGTCCTAAAGATGCCTCTGAAAATTTTAGCAGCTGCAAGCAGATGGCAAAACAGGCATTCCTCTTGTCAATGTTATTGATTTATTTGATTATTTGAAACTAGCAGCTAGCATTTATATTTATTTCAGAGCACAAATGTAAATGTGGTTGTGAAAATGAAGCTACTTGGGGGAAAAAAGCTAATATAGTATAACAAAGGAGACACTGTTACGTTTCTGATAAAAAGCCAGGCTTCGAAACAGGATTTTCTTTTTTTTTTTTTTAATGGAGAGCAAGAAAGAATGTTGTCATGACCTTTGCACAAGCCTTGGCATCTCTAACCATGTTTAGATGGTTAAAGTGAGATTACATCATACTTTCCTAACTTTCAGGAAGAATGCAGTAAAGATATCCCCTGAATATTTCAGACAGCAGGTCCTTTCTTATGTAGTTGGTGTGCATTCCAAATATGCCTCATGGTAACCAAGAATGTGAACAAAGGAAGGAGAATCCAGAGTTTTGGAGTTCCCAGCTGGGGCCCAGCCTGCATTATGGCCAAGATCATTGCAATCACTGACTTGCATTGTAATTGTGTGAATGACTCACAAATCTAGCAGATGTCTGCAAACAAGTAGGAATTAGATCCGGGCCAAAAAGTAACTCTATCAAATCAGTAAGGAACTCTATTAAGCAAATGAATAGGAAGAGGCAGCAAACTCCTGTGGTGTCCTAGACTTAGTTACCATGGGGAAGTAGAGTCCAGCTAAGGTTATATACATTGAATATGTGATTTTTATCTGGAAATAAAGATAATCTTATGTATTTTAGGTAGGGATCTGGTTACAACCCCTTTTCCCACCCACATATATCCATTTGTTAAAGTACTTTACACTTAAGGACAATCGATATTGTGAGTTACTTAGTGATTTCACAATCATCAAATCATTCTACCCACCCCCCCACCCCCAGAAACTCTGTAAGTATAAAATCGACATTCACAATTAAAGAAACAAAGGCTCCAAGAAGTTAAGTGATGCCATATTTAGTATTTGTACCAATACTATTAAGTTAGGAAGAAGTTTTTAACAATCCCCCAACATTCCACCTAAAGTTTAATGATGATCTACTAAGCAGGTTCTCATTCAGATATTTAATTCTCAAGGCATCCTTCATCAAGAGTGGAGTCCAAGTTAATAGGAAGCACTCTTCTCTTGATCGGGAATGGTATCACTAATCTTTGTGATACAGCAACTTGCTCTTTCTATGACTCAGCTCCTTCCTTTTAAAATGAAGAATCAGACCACTCGAGTGACTCTCAACTTGTATATATGCTCAGGATTGTATTTTCCTACCAAGCTTTATTGATAGATTAAACCACTATGCATGTTTATCAAGTAATCAAAAATATTTTCTTCTAAGCAAAGAGTGATTGTCTGATTGTCTTTTTGGCTATGGAAATAGTAAATACAATGATGGGCTTTATCACCTTTGTGGACCTCTGGGGATCTGGCAGTTTGGGATGGAATAATTGGATTAAATGAAGAGACGAAACTTAAGTTCTTTCCAACTTCAAGTGTTGATGAAAACTTTTAGGTAAACTGGAGTAATTCAGATAATTTCCAAGTGATTGTAGGGAAACATTAATTAGTGCTTCAAAAATCCTGATATTTTAGATCAGTTTGTTTTTCTGGCCCACTTTTTTTTTTTATATATAAAATGAGGAAACTGAGGAAACCGTTTTTATAAAGTGAGGCATAGAGGTTAAGTGTCTTGCCTAAAAAAGAGGGCCAAACCAGGGTAGAAATGCCATAGTCTCCCACTGATTCCATACCAAATTACATGGCAATGTGGTTGCCATCGACCTCTTTTGGACCTCTGTGACACATAGATTCAAGGCTCATGAGAGGTGCACTAGCAGAGGGAGAAATCCAGGGAGAATTCCTTTATTCACCTTTATGATATATATATATTTGTTTTTAAAGCTTTCAATTTGGGAGAATATTTTCAAGAAAAATGGTGCATGTGTCCAAGGAAAGGCGTAGTGTTGCTTTGGGGACTGGGACATTAAGGAAAAGATGAGACTTACGTTTTCTTTCCACAGATGGCACCTTGGTACCAGTTCCTACAAGTGCTGAAGTATTTCTTTTTGGTGCCTAAAATCTGTTGAAGGGCACAGACATTTGGGCTGGAAGACAGAGGGAAGGAACGAGAGTTAGTGTCTTAATGACAACCAGTGTTTCATACCTTCAGGTCAGATGATTCAGAAAAAAAGTTAACATGTGGACTCAATTTTCAAAGATGTGATTCTAGTCTTGCAAAAATCTACTTCTTGATTCAATCATACTGAATCATTAGAAAAACTAAATTCTATGGGAGAGAAAAAAGAGAGAGGAAATTATACATCCTTGAGAGGAGAACACCAGCATTTCAAAAGTTAATTTAGTAGGAATATTCAAGCAGCATTAAGTTCAACTTAGTTTTGTTGTCATGAGTGTCTTATTATTTCTAGTAGTAAGATAATCTACTGACCCTTCCTAAATCCAACATGTGCTCATTTGGGATTCTAATCTGGAACAATGGACTCTGGAACAGTGAGGAATCAGAAAGCAAAGAGACAAGTTTTCCTATGTCAAAAAACACCGCATTCTGTCATTTTCTAGGTGAGTAATCACAGAAGTAAATAAGTATTAAAATTAACTTGAATAATATGGCTGCACAAAGGAAAATCTATGTCTTTGAGTGGAAATAGATCAGAACATCCTGTGCCAGAATTTTAAGTGTTTTTCTCTCTTAAAGAGATGGAAGTTTTATTTGCACTGTAAAGCAAAGGAACATTTGAGCATTGTGAAAATCTCTCTGAGACATTAGAAGAGTGCCAAGATCCTTTTCAAAAAAAAATTATAAATGGTTGGTTAAGTTACTAAATTATGCCTGGTAACTTTAAAAATGCTAAGTTGTAGTTGGATTGATTCCAAGAAATATGTTACTTTTGCAAATTTTACAGAATGCAGAATTTAAAAGCATTCTTAAATGCTTTAAAATATTCAAAGAACTAGTTCTATTACTCATTATTTTATTTTCATACATAATTTAAATGAAAATTTCCTTAACATTATGTGAGATATTTCAAAGATAACTTACTTAATGAGAACCCTAACCATATATATTTTTAATTTTGGAAACCTCATTTCAGGTTTTTGGAAGGAAATAAAAATACAAATAAATAAAATAATAAATAAATGTCCCGTTAAATGTTGTCAATTAGATTAAAATTATGTAATGCTTCATAAAAAGCAATTACATAAAAATTACCTTGACAGAAATTTTTAAAGTTGAAAACCCATTTATAAATCACAGAATACTCATTTTTATTGTTTCTTTTTAGTAAATAGAAAAAAAAAAAACCTGAGGCATATATAAGGAACTTTATGTATACTTACACATAAAACAAGCTAAGAAAAAAAAATTATAAAACTGAACTACTGACTTACCCCTGATCCCGGCCCCTGATTCGGCTATGAGCCAAGATCTTGTCATAATGGCCATTGGCATTTGCAGAGTTAACAACAACCAGCAAGAGTAGAGAAAATATGGGTAAGAAAGGAATCATCTTTAGTCTCTCCGTTACAGTTAGTCCACGAAGAGAACTGGCAGTGGGCTTTGGAGAGCTCAGAGTTTATATACATGTCAGAGTTGTGGGAGGGAGCACTGTATAACCTGGGAATCTGAGCTCTCTCCAAAAAACATCAGCAACTTCAATTTGGCAGCTAAAATGCACTTTTGTTATGTTTACTGAACACATCAAGCATCTTTTACTTCTCATTCTGAAGAAGATATCTATTTTTATTTTTAAATAACTTATATTTCCCCTTAATAGCTGACTCCTTGCATGTTCATATTTCAGTTTTATTCTTTTGTAAATTGGAGGGGTTTATGGAAAATGCTTTTGTCTGGGTTTTAAGGAATATTCTGCCATTCATCCCTTTCAGAGTATATGTCCCTGTGCTCAATGAGATCATTGTTTGATCTTATCACATTTAGTTCACATCAGAACTGAAAGGTTATTATTTTTCACCAGGAACAAATGTAGATGTAAGTTTGATAATTTTAAGGCAGTAATGGCTGTTGATCAAAAACAGATGTTGGATAGATTTAAAACTTGTACAAAATATGAAATAAGAATTCTGATTGCTGACGAAACACGGAGAAGAGACTACATTTTCCTTGCAATCCTACTAAACTGCGAGATACCTCCCAGTTCGCTTATTTTTTAATAGATCAAGGAATAGATCGAGTTAACATAAATCTACTTCTGGCTTTGTTTTCCTAACTCTTGAAACGAAGCAGAAAAGAAAAACATTTGTGCTTTATTGTTTCTTCGTTACATACTTCACACGATGATGAACTTGTCTAGGTCGCGCATCTGATAGCCACTGGATGAAAGCAACCCCTGTTGGAAACAAATATTACTAATCTAGCTGTAATAGATTAAACACATATAAGAAACAAACGTATTGCCAGAATTATTCTTCTGATTTTACCGAGAGTAACTGAAGTCTCTTAATGTTACACGATGCGATTCCTATCCAAGAGAATGTGCGTTCTCATCCCTCCACACATGATACGTCAAATGTTCAGAACCCTGGATAAAAGAAACCTGAATGTCAGATGTCAGCAATAAGCTGAAATGATAACCTACAATAAGACTCCTTGAATAAGTAAGTTTCACACTCTCCTAAAGTAAAAGTGTAATTCCAGTACGTCTTGTTGCAAAATTTTCCCTCTGTGATAGCACATCAGTATTGTTTCCCACAGGCAATATGGAGAAATTTTGTACTAACCATGTTTTCCCATTGGAAGGGCTTTTGGGGGAGGTTGGTTGGGCCTGAGAGGATTCCAGGTATCAGGAGAGTTACATTAAGCTTGCTATAGAATTTTGCTTTGAGGCACTAAAATAATTCTGTAACTGGCTGCTAGTTTACTAAGAAAGCATACAATTAGACAATACATTCTGAAATACGATGCAGAGACCTGTTTGAAAATCTTGGTATGAAGGTATAGAAAATGAAACAGCAATTCAAAAGGAGACCTGGAGAAAAGAGGGCATCAAAATATAAATTAAATTCTGTCCCTGGCCCCTTGTGGGAAGAAAATTAATCTAACATTTATATTTCTCTGAGTGAAATTATTTTAACTTCATCTCTATGTTACTGGTTTGCTTTATATAATAGGTTTCTATTATTCTCTTGTTGTGTAAATTGGTATGTGGTCAGTAATTATTTATTGAGTAGGATCGGAAGACTGTTTTATGGAAATAAGGTCTTCTTAATGCCAGTAAATTAGCTGCTGGAATATTGTTGGTAACACAGTTATATAAAAATCTTCAATTCTAGACTGGTTCGACATTATAATGTAGATTACTCATCTTCTAAGGCATAATAATGGAATTTTGGAATTATAGAAGGGTAAGTCAAACTTGTAAACAAATCTCTCCAACATCACCATTATAAGTAGTCATTCATTCTTTACTGGGATGCTCGCTGCTGTCAATGCAACCCTTTTCCTCTTAGACAGCTGTAACCATTTACAAGCTTTTCTGTAATGAAGCTGAAATCCGCTTAAATCCAATGGGGTTCGATTGGAGAGGAAGGAGTGAGGTATTGGGAGAAAGGGTTATAGACTTGGATAGTACGTATCAGGGGTAAAAGAGCTCTTTAAACACAGTCCAGAATGATGACAGACTTGATTATGAGTACGGGGTGCAGGCAAAATAAAAAATTTCCTGTCACGTTACCTCCTTTCTTAGTAGTGCCTGTGGTACATTGAAAAAATATTGATAATTTTTAAGAACAGTTTTGACCTACTTGTTCCTTGTTACCATTTTTTTATTCATTCCTAGTTTTATCCATTGGAATAAATGGCTTCCATTCACCTGGATTCCTTCTGTGGTCTAAATGGACAAAGAATTGCATTCATATTTCAAAAAAGGACTGCACCTTTCTGACTGGAGACACAGGTTTACTTTTTATAAAACATGTGATATATGCTCATACACTAAAAAGTTTCTTAAATCTTTCTTTTCAGAGTTTCAAGTAACAGAGTCTTAATCCATCCTGGGCATCATACGGGAACTTGCATAAGTCCCATGGAAGTCAACAAATGCTACCCCTCAGCAAATATTTACACTCCGGATAAGTAATACCATCAAGGACAATCTTGAAAATGAGGGCCAGACTGCACATAAACTACATGTAAATTTAGAGGGTGGAGAGGGTTCCAAAAGAAGGAAAACCTTAGTGTAAATATAAAAACATGAGAGTACTGCAACTGAAAAAGCCAAGCTCAGCTTGGGAGTGTGACACTATATGATATTATGGAGTAGTAGAAAGTCAAGCAACTGTGTTAGCCAGGATCCTAGCTTCTGGTAGACAAATTGAACCGTAGTCCCTATCTGACAGTGCTGGGTAGGCTGAGGGAAGGAAAACAGTTTCAGAGAATGGGAGAAAAGATAGTCTAAGGTGTGGAAAAGAGAAAAATCTCTCTTGTCTGAGCGTTCAGCAGGGTCAATGTCTCTCTCATTCTTTCTCTCCACACAGGGCCCTTATTCTTTTGCTTCATGAAAGGATCCTGCCTCTGGGTTGGCTACGCAATTTTATTAGTAGTTTGTAGGAGGGCTGAAATCTTGGCAATTGAATCTAATTTCCAGGGTTGTAAAGTCTGACCTGGAAATGTAAGTCATTAATGAAAAGGAAGTGGCTTATTATGCAACCAAAGAAAAATAATGTGTCTGAAAGATAGAGCCATTTGTTTCTAGCTATCAGGTTGCTAATTTATGGGCAGTTTTCAAATTATCCAGTGGATCTTTGCAGCAAGCCTTGTAGCCTCTGGAGACTGTGAAATCATAGTGATAGTATGCCTACTCTTGCTAGCATGTAACCAATATGGCCCACACACTGTAGGGTTGAGATTGCCTATGGATTCAACAAGCCTAGAGTAGATTTTTTAGAAGACATGTCCTTGGTTTGGAATCATCCAGAGTAGTTATTTGCCTCAAATTATGTATAAACTCCTGCTTTTTAACATATGTTCTGTGGGATATTAAAAACATTTCTTGGAGCACCACATTGCTTTCTCTCTGGCCTATTCATAATAATTATAAAACATGATAAGGCCTTAAAGCTAATGTCACACATTCTTGGGGGCAGCATGACTCAGTGTCCAAATGCTTGGTTAGTGAAGGTCTTAGCCTTTTTTGGTACCTGGGTTTGCAGCCGTATAAACTGAAGTTCTGACAAAGACCCAGTGATCTTTGTTGCCTTTGAGTAAGAGACAGTCAACAGTAAAAACAAATTCAAATTAAGCAAAAATTAAATTTTTCTTAGCTTTAAATATTAGCTAAAATATAGCTAAAAGAAAATTCAATGTCAATGCCTGACTTAAAGTAAGTCAGAATGGCAATGTATAAGCACAGATACTTGTGGCTGACACACTGTAAAGCCTGTAAGTGGAACTTCCCAAGCCATACTCCCAATATATTTCCAATGGATTAATCTCCTCTGCTTCCATAGATCTTCCAGGCATGGTCTGGCTTACCATATTTAAGGTAATGAAATCATATTCAGAGAAAAAGATGACTAATTTGGCCCCAAAGTAAATGATGTCTCTTTAATGTTCATTCTTTTGGAAGCATACAGAAGGTTTTCTGTGATAAATGTGGGTAGTATGCCTTCTTTCTTAGTTAAATTTAGATGCTGTTTTCCTTTAAAAGCTTATCAATTAACAGATCTCACTTTAAAATTTAGTAATTAATGTAACTGTTATCCCTCATTGAACTGAGCACTTCTGAAATTTTTAAACTGGGTACTTGTTATCAGTATTTCTTATTAACAGTGTTTACTTGTATTTCTCTGGAGACATCTAGTGGAGAAAGTACAGTATGTGTTTCTAGAAGCACAGATACTATTACATTTTGATTTAAAGAATAATTTATATGAAATTGATATGAAAAAATCTTAAACATTTTATGTACATTTCAAAATGCCAAGTAACTGAAGATTAATAATGATCTCTTAAATAAAAGATTTTAGAGCTGATTTAGATTAATCACATTAATGATGCCAAATCTAGATTAAAAAGTGAAAAATCTAGGGGGACAAAACATAAGAGACTCTTAAATACAGAGAGCAAACTAAGGGTTGCTGGAGGGGTTTTGGGTGGGGGGATGGGCTAAATAGGCAAGGGGCATTAAGGAAGACACTTGCTGGGATGAGCACTGGGTGTTACATGTAGGGGATGAATCACTGGATTTTACTCCTGAATCATTCTTGCACTACATGCTAACTAACTTGGATGTAAATTAAAAAAAAAAAAAAAAAAAAAGAAAGAAAGAAAAAGAAAAATCTAGGGTGCTTGGGTGGCTCAGTCAGTTAAGTGTCCGACTTCGGCTCAGGTCATGATTTCACGGTTCATGGGTTCAGGCCTCATGTTGTGCTCTGTGCTGACAGCTCAGAGCCTGGAGCCTGTTTTGAATTCTGTGTCTTCCTCTCTCTCTCTCTCTGCCCCTTCCCCACTCATGCTCTGTCTCTCTCTGTCTCTCAAAAATAAATAAATGTTAAAAAAATTTTTAAGTTGAAAATCTAGTCTTTTTTTTTTTTATGTGACTGAACAATGAATTGCTTTACTTTTTATCTGAGATTTTTATTGTTGTTCTACACTGACATCGACTATTGACAAGAATAAGAAATTGTGACAGATTTTTCAACTTCACATAAATGATCGGAAATAATAGTCTGTTTTACTCACTGGTTCCCTTCACATTTACAAACCCTTTCTTTCTCATCTCTGGCATCCTTGATACTGTTAACATTGTGCCTTTCGTCTTTTCTCTCATTTATATCTGGACAAGTTTGTTTCAGAGACTGCTAAGACCCTAGTCATCACATCTGTCTTCCGCTCACAAATAACTTCTAATATTCTTTCATATCAGACTGTAAGATGAAGGGGTGCATAATTACTGCAATCAGGAGAAATCTGTAGATGGCCAGAGCTTGTAGTAGGAGAGTTTCATCAGCCCATCTGGCATATTTAGTCTGATTAAAGAATGATTCAAATTATGATCACTTTATAATTAATAATCACCCATTTATCACCTTCTTGGGCCTCTTCTCTCTGAAATAGAAATATTTTCAGGTCCCATACTCAGATGGCCATCTGCTGATATCCCCTCTGTTTATTTGTCCATGTCAACATTGACCTCAAATTCGCTTCATCTTCTATTTCCAGTGTTTGTAATACGTGGTATATATTCTCTCTCTCTCAACTTCTGGAAAGCTTCTTGTACTTCTTCTGGGGGGCGGGGGGAACAGAAATTTTACTTCTCATTTTCTAACCATAATGTGTCTGGTGTCCTCAAAGACACTGAATATATTGTGTTCTAAAGCAAACTGTTTCTCTGCTTTTCCAGATATTAATCTTACATGATTAATTTCCAATTGCAGCAACTCAGTATTGTTACTGATAGAGATGCTTTCTTCTTTTTTTTTTAAAAAAATTTTTTTTCAACGTTTTATTTATTTTTGGGACAGAGAGAGACAGAGCATGAACGGGGGAGGGGCAGAGAGAGAGGGAGACACAGAATCGGAAACAGGCTCCAGGCTCTGAGCCATCAGCCCAGAGCCCGATGCGGGGCTCGAACTCACGGACCGCGAGATCGTGACCTGGCTGAAGTCTGACGCTTAACCGACTACGCCACCCAGGTGCCCCAGAGATGCTTTCTTCTTAACTCTCCCCATATATCATGAAGTTTCCTGCTTTCCTTATACAATTTTCTCAAAAATGCCAATTCTTCTCTAAATGCGTGGATCTGATGAAGGTTTTTATTCACTATAATTTTCTTATACGCAAACTGATCTGGGATGCTGTGGGGGAACAAAAATGGAAAAAAACTCTATTTGTTTTATGGTAACAAATATGCAACGTTCTTTATATTTTTATTCTTTTTCCCAGTGATACCCATACTTGTGGAAAAAATGGAATTAGACAAATCTCAGGACTCAAGTTATGTGTATATGCCTGACCTGCACAGAGGTTTGATTTCCCAGTATATAATGAACAACATTATTAGTTTCCCAGTATATAATGAGCAACAAGAAAGAAGGTGACATTATTAGAAAAAGTTCTGGGAAGGAAAATTATTCAAGTAGATGTAGAGATTAATTCTATGGTTCTTATTCGGGGGGAAAAAAAGCCTATAGTAGTGAAAGAAAGCTTTGGGCTTTACAGGAGAAAAAAAATCTTTGATTCTTTAAGTCTGCCTTTAAGTTTCATAGACACAAACACAGACAGTTGTACATTTTTTGCCATTAGCAAATCTTTCAGTTAAACAGCTAAACTCTCAAGTATGCAGAGATTGGTTAAAATCATAATAACAATGACAGATGCTGTTTACAATGGATATTGTCATATGCATTTGCACTGTTTGGAATTCATACCAAGGAAAATGTGGCAGGAAAACCCTTATTTAGGGTGGAAGCTGGTAGTCCCAATACAGCAAGAGATTTTAATAGCCAAACAGTGTAAAGCCAGAGAGCTTGAAAATTAATAATTCTTCAGTCTGAAAGAGGATTTGGGGAACTTCAATTTTGGAACATATTATGCCCAATTTTCAGTTGTATTTAAACATCTATCGGCACGTATTTTTACCATACAGCAGCTTTCTCTCGTTTTTTTCTCCCAGCCCTGACTCTTAACAAGATTAATAGCCAGAGGGTGGTTGAGAAAAGCAAGCAAATCATTTGCCCATGTCGACCCATGATTTGGATAATTCTGCTTTGACAAAACCCGGGTGAAGGGAGGGAGCTCAGTTCATTCCTCTGGGTGTTCTAGTTATCTATTTCTGCCTGACACATCACTCCAGAGTTAGTGGCATAAAATAGCAATCTACTTGCTGCACTTAGGTTTCAGTGGGTCAGGGATTCTAACAGCGCACACTGGGGATTGCTTATAAGCCATTGTGCTCCACGATGTCTGTGGCTTCAGCTGGAAGATGAAGGGTAACTGGAAGACCTGGCTCAGCTGGGACTATCAGGGGAGCATTTCCATGTGGTCTCACCAACATGGTGGCCTCAGAGTACTTGGACTTCGTACATGACAGCTCAACTATCCGTTTAAAAAGCAGAAGATGCATAGCCTTTATTTAAATGTCTGTTTAGTTTTGAGGTGGGGGGATGCACACAAGCAGGGCAGGGGCAGAGAGAGGGAGACAGAGGATCCAAAGCAGGCTGTCAGCAGGCTCTGCTGTCAGCAGAGCAGAGAGCCCTATGTGGGGCTTGAACTCATGAACTGTGAGATCATGACCTGAGCTGAAGTCAGACACTTAACGGACTGAGCCACCCAGGCACCCCCACATGGGCTTTTCTGAGCTGGCCTCAAAGCACACATACAGATCTTCTCCCAAGTTTGCTAATGGTTGAAGCTGTTACAAGTGAGCCCAAATATAAAAGGAGAGCATATAGAATCCACCCCTCAAATGCGGGAGGATCCAAATGTTTGTAGCCATGAGAGAATGGCATTTAGGTTCTTGAGACTCCTCATAAACCCAGAAATGCCTACAGTCTTCTAACTTGGGGTTAAATTGGGTAAGGTATATGGATATAATATATATCTAATAGTTACTTTTTTTTCATAAATCATCACAGAATCACAATGTTGTTAGTGCATCATCTTTTTGTGTTACTGGATTACATTCTTCTTGGGATTTTGCAGTTTGCCTTAAATACAATATAAAACACCTATCCATCAAGCAGGGAATGCATTGAGCTTTTTGAAAGGAAAGAGGTGTAAATAATGGGAGAAAATTTAGAAAATATTTTGAAAATCAGGTACAGAGTTCTGAACTGGATGAGCATCATATTGCAAATTTAAACATCTGACCTCTAGGGGCGCCTGGGTGGCTCAGTCTGTTAAGCGTCCGACTTCAGCTCAGGTCACGATCTCGCGGTCTTTGAGTTCGAGCCCCGCGTCGGGCTCTGTGCTGATGGCTCAGAGCCTGGGGCCTGCTTCCGATTCTGTGTCTCCCTCTCTCTCTGCCCCTCCCCTGTTCATGATCTGTCTCTCTCTGTCTC